TAAATAACTCTTCGTAGGAGTAATTAATATATTTTTCAACCCCAATCTCGTATTTCGTATAAAGAAAATTAGATTCATTTTTTCAGACTGTTATTCAAAGTCATAATTAATAGCATGATACAACTTATCTTTGTATGAAAATTTTCTGTATGCAAATCTGCAAACACTTAATGTGAATACATGAAAATAAATAACATTTAGTATTGCAATCATAACAATAATCTCTACATATCTCTACTTATGACTATTTTTACTATGATTTTACATGGAAAATGTTGTGAAAAAACATACTGTACATCATTTTCCAAAATATACTTTTCATATCATGTAATTGCATCGTATCCAATTTACTTACTCGTCATCAATTGTATCTTCTTCTACATATACTTCAGATTTTAACGTATCCACTTTTTCAGACTTGAGCGAATTTCTAGACAAATCAAGCGAATGAAAGAAGTCATCATGAATGTCATTGAACATGTTACACTGTCTGCCAAGTTGTGCAGTTTGTTCCCTTAAAATCTCCTCTTCGATATCTTCCTCAGTACAAGAAATGGTTGATTCCGAAGATAACGAATCCATATTTTCTAATAGGTATTGTGAAACAATTTCAGGTGTATTCGATATTAGCAAGTTTGAACTACTTTCATTGTATTCTTCATTTTGCAAATTTGAGCTATTTTCATTGTATTCTTCACTCATCAAATTTGAATTATGTTCATTATATTCTTTACTTAAAGTACAGATTTCAGGAACATTCGATAATGGCAAAACGTTGTATTCTTGACTATATCCTTCATTTATAAATTCATTAGTCGAACCTATATCAGTCTCGAAAGCAGGTAAGTAGGAACGATCAAGTTTGACTTGACAATTTATTTCGCTATTATCAATAATAGTATTTTCTGGCATAATTTCATCTGTCATATTTGTTTCTTCATTGACTGTCGCAGCATAATCTTCGTTGCAATAACTACAACAAAGATTTGATGAACAGTTTGATTTTTTATCATGATATGGTAAGTCCTCGTTCCAATGCTCAGACAATATTGAATATTGTGCTTTATCTATGCCTACTTCGTTGCTGTTCATGTCATATTGTTTTTCACAAATTTCACTGTCATATACGGTACTACCAGAATTATAATACAATTCATAATTAAAGTTACTGAATATCTCGTTGCTTGAAAAATCAATGGAACCTTCTAAATCCATGGATTCAATCTCGTTTAGATAAGGAGCAACATTAAACTCGGACACAAATTCTACAGATTTATCATCCGATGTTAACGATACTGAGCTTTCTTTCCGTTTCTCAGTTTCAAAAGCAGGTACTTTACTTTCGCTATTTTGTTTTCTTCTGCCACGTTTCACCCTCTTTCTTTCCTTGCACTTTTTCGCTTCTGTTTTTTCATCAAGGAAGGTACAAATATTCCAATTAGACGATTTCTGTATTCTATCTATAAAATCATGTTCTTGTTTCCTTCTATGAACTGATTTTCTACAGTTATTATCATTTGTTAAGCATGTTTCCTCAGAATATAAATTATTCAATCCTCTTATTGGATTACACGCTTCCTGCGCATTTTCTTCTATATTAGTGAAAACTATTTCGCTCGAGATCTCTTCAACGTCTCTGTGTTTTTTAGGACTACTTTTCAATATATTAGGAATTCTACGAGTAAACATTTTGTTCTCAAGTTTATATTGCGCTTCACTTTTCTCTACGGGCAATACGATTGAATTTAGATAATCGTTTTTTGTATTTTTATTTTCTGAAGTCAAGGAATTGTAATCATACTCGTCTGTAATTATGCTAGTCCGTATTTTTAATATTCTTATGACATCCTTGAATTTGGATTAATTAACATTTTTGTACTATTTATGACAACTATAAAATACAAGATTAAAAATACGTTATTCCGCTTTTTAAAAATTGTCACTGTAATTGATTTATACAATTAGTCGCAGAATAAAATAATATCATTCTAAGTTCGACGTATGCATTAATGTTCGTAGTTTAAACTTACCTAACTTCGCCGAAGTGATATTTCTTACAGTAGACCGGTATAATAACAGTATAATAATATAATAACAGAAAAATATAAACTTACAAGTTTAAATCCTCGATCACCCGTCAGGCGCGTACATCATCGGAATCGGCACTCTAACCGGCACGATCGACGGTCGAAAGTAAACTGCCACAGTGCCACAGCCACACTACCTACTAAAATACTATACTAGACCGGAAGGTTCAGTGCTCAGTGGTTATCGTTTAGATACAAAAGAAATATGAAACGCCCTTCAAGAATGAAACGTAAACATTTCTAGAAAGACGAAAAAACATCTCGCGACACGACGCAATGTATGTACAACGTTTAATATTTTTTAAATGTACATATACGGTGGTTACCATTTTTTAATCGAAAATCTTTTAAATCGTTTAATTAGTTTGAATCGCGAACATTCGATTTTGACAGAAACATTTTGCAATAATGAATAAATTGGACATGAATTTCAGTCAGAATCATTATTAATAAATCCAATTTTGTGCTAATTTATCTTTTTCTCCGTATAAAAAGCAATTTAAACTTGTGTCTATGCTGTATGTGTGAACTAAACGTGTATATGTATTGGTATCTCGAAATTAAACAGTTCTTATTTTAGCATAATGTTTTGTTAAAATATATAAAAGTGTACAAACTAGATAGAAATTTGTGACGAGGTCGAAGTTATAAAGTGGAAACAGGTAATATGATAATAAAATACTTTATTTTGATAAAATTGCGTGTAATAAAATTTCTGTAGTAACAAAAGATGATGTATGTGTGTGACAACAGTGATAAAATAAATTAAGCGCTTTGTGCCTTATAATATCTATACGTTGATTTGGCTTGTGTAATTAGATAACGTAACTACAGTTACCAATCATTATTGTCAGAAACGTCATTATTTTGAAGCCTTAGCGTAGAAAACAACACATCTCTAACTTTTGGCTTTGGATCTTCGGTAATCTTTGTTGTTATAGCACCTGCTTCACCCAACATCCATTCCAGCTCTGTTTCATATAATAATTTGCGTTAATAGTGTCACTTACAAGAATACTATTCATTTCAAAAAGAAATTTTCTCAATCGTTATTATAGGTACCTTCTTCCGTGAGTTTCATGCCCCTAAATTCTATTGGTCCAATGATCTGTTTCTTCATATTTCCGCCATGGTATATAAAAATTGTTGGAAGGTTACTATCAGGCCAGTTAGGAATGCAAGTAGTCGAAATACTGTTTAAAAACTTCGTTGCCGGAAATTTCCTTGCTAGACTAGTTAAGTACTGATTTATTAGCGTACAAAGCGGGATTCTGGAAATAATAACTATAGTAATATATAGTCGTTCAACAAATTTTTCCTTCAGTCAAATAAACGATCGTACCCATTCTTGTACAAATGAAGAACTACCCAAATATCTTCTCCAGCGTTATTCACTTCTTGAACGTAATCTTGCCCTGATATCTCTTTGACTTCACCGTACTTAGCTTTATTTGCCAACTGTTTCATTTCGGCTATTCTTTTACGTCGATACTCCAATAGAACTTTCTCATCTTCTTCATCTTCCAGCTCATCTAGCTCATCTAATGTCTTATTTTCTAAATCATCAGTTGCTAAGAAATTACAAAATATCATTAGGAATCTAAATAAAATATACAGTATAGAACTAATAACATGATATTCAAGTACTTCGTCCAGTTTTTTCATTTATAGTGTTCTCCACTATATCCAATATTTGATCCTCCGTTACTTCTTTCTCTTTCTCAGGAATAATTCCTTTACTCCTAAGAATGTCATTCCATTGCGTGTCCTCATTTGGATCTTGCTACGATAACAAAATCTAGGTTATACAAACACAAAGTGTTTCTTTGTTTTTTTCTATTATAATATTAAGTAGATAAAAACACTGTAAAAGTTATTTTAGATCTTGAGAGATCCTTGATATTCCTTTTTTGGAGTCAGAGATATCTATTTTGATATAACCTCTATCTCGAGAAGTTAAATCTTCACTTACCATGGCGAAGTAAAACAATTGTTAATGTTATACAACGTAAAACACTGATTTATTTTATTTTAATGTGATTGCACAAGAGATTATTGTACAAAGTATGTAGCTACGAACGACAGCTGATCACTCGTGCTCTTACACGCGTGCATTTATGGTATCATCAATGACGCATTCACACTCGAATCACATTCTATTTAAAAACTGTGTCATTAGGCGGTGGCGCCCCACATGGTCGCCCTGGAATTCTAAATATATATTTTTTAGTTATTCATATTGCACAGTCGAAATTTATTCGGAATTTCCTTTTTTTTTTAGCGTTTTAGCGTTTTCTACTATTATATTAGACTAAGACAGCGTGTGTCGAAACCTTTCAAATTCTTCTTTGTGGTTTTTGTGATAAAAGCAGTCCTGTTTACAAATAGCCGTTGATTGTATATAGTGTACATGTCGTGTTTCGATCATTTGGGTCTTTCTTTGTTACAGCCGAACTTTTTAACACCTCATCACATACGAAAATAATGTATGTACTCGTTTAAAAATGTGAATAATACTTTTCCTAATAATAGTATCCTGCAAATTAGTTGTAAAAAAGTAACAATGCCATTATAATTAATAAAATTAAATTATTATTATTAATTAAGTAATATTATAATAGTAGTAGTATAGTAAGTAGTATTATAATATAATAAGTTATTATTAAGTAAGTATTATAATTAAATAAAAAAGAAATTAATATTGGCATTTAATTATTTGATTCAAGTTCCATTTTTTTAGCATTTTTTATATTTTCTGTAGCCATTCCGTGATCGATACAAGTGCTGCTATCTATCAACTATATCGATTTATCGACCGAAAGATCTTGCAATAAAGATGTGTTTGTACCGCGTAACTCATTTTCAAAAAGAAAATAAGATTAAATAAAATAACGGTATTGTTGTAAATACCGTAATAAACCGCAACATTCGTATAGTTTTAACGAGCAAAAAAGTTCTTAAAATTGACGGTTTGATTCGTTCTTGGAATTTTTGCAGGAGCCAAAGGTGTCGCAGAATAAAAACAAAATGTCTGAATTCTTAATTCAGAAACATAATAATCTGTGAAAATCGCAATCGGAACGCAAGATTAGAGCCGAGACAATGCGATCGCACGATGAAAGTTAACAGAGCAACGTTTCTGACTCACTCGGACAATTGTGTACCCGTCGCGCGTTACACATAGGTTATATTGCTCTTATATTTCTTGCCGCTGCGAGCGTATGTCGTCACGATGGAAACGGCAAGAATCATTCGCGCAATCGTCGTGGACTGTGTCGCTTGTAATCAGAGAAACCGGTTAATCGTGCAGCTGTGCTGGACCACGGTTGTGTTTTGTGTCCCGCACCAAATACCTAAAACCAGTTTGAGCATCGCCGCGATAATATTTATAGGCATATGGAATGATAATTTCCATTTTGTAACGGTGCAACATCGTCTTCGGGACCTGCAGCTCGAACCTTCTCAATTAATTATTTTTTTTACGCGCCTTTAATCCGACGCGAAGATTCAGAACGGTGACGGAAAACACGACGCAGTTTTCGGAATGAAATTCTGCATATAATATAATATAATATAATATAATATAATATAATATAATATATTATAATATAATATAATATCTTTCTCTTATACACATCTAGATGTGTATAAGAGACAGATATAATATAATATAATATCTTTCTCTTATACACATCTAGATGTGTATAAGAGACAGATATAATATAATATAATATCTTTCTCTTATACACATCTAGATGTGTATAAGAGACAGATATAATATAATATAATATCTTTCTCTTATACACATCTAGATGTGTATAAGAGACAGATATAATATAATATAATATCTTTCTCTTATACACATCTAGATGTGTATAAGAGACAGATATAATATAATATAATATCTTTCTCTTATACACATCTAGATGTGTATAAGAGACAGATATAATATAATATAATATCTTTCTCTTATACACATCTAGATGTGTATAAGAGACAGATATAATATAATATAATATCTTTCTCTTATACACATCTAGATGTGTATAAGAGACAGATATAATATAATATAATATAATATAATATAATATAATATAATTATACAACAAATTCGCAGAATTCGTGCAGAATAGAAAACATATGTAACATAATACAAGGAAACTGTAAATTATATGAATCATACGGTTCATTGTAATATTCGCTACACGTGTGCTATATTAATTACATAATTATATGTATGTATATGTGCTTCAGTTAAAAGAAATTTCCAAGAGATTCAAATCATTCGGTCGAATGTTATAAAATCTGTTTTAGTTCTAAAAAATGTCCAAATATTAAATGTTCGCTTAAATTTCAAGCGATCGACTGTGTGTGTGTAAAGCAGAAAAGGAAGAATATAGCGATGCCTCTGCTGCGGTTAAAAAATCGGATGAGTTCGATACGACAAAGCTTAAACGTACACGCAACACCGAGAATCGCGCGATCCGTTTTCACGGTGCTTTCAGGCCACGTGTATCTTGTACCAACCTTTGTGTGGCGTAGCCTTTGTTACTGGACCCCATGAAAGAAACATGTTTCTTCGACAACGCCAAGCAAATTGCAGAAAATGCCGCATCAACGGCCACCGACGGACCAAAGTGAACACGTGTATCCTTTTGTGTTCAAGCCTGTAACGCGAGAGGGAAATTTTTTAAAGGATCCCGAGAATCGCGTTTCATCAGGTTTGATTAAAATCGCCGTAATTGAAAACCACTGGAAGCTCCCGAGAAAAATCGTTGCGGTTTCACAATTGAACGCATTAATGGCCTGCCCATGGTGTCGAAGGAAAGAAATCATGCCGTAGGAAATTCTCTTACATGGAAACGAAATTGTTCTGTTTATTTAATACACGATATATACGCTGGTAGCGTATATCGTGAATTTAATAAATATTCTGAATTTATATATATAATTATTATATAATTATATATATAATTATATATTATATATAGTTATATATTTGAATTTAACAATATTTGAATATATTGTTAAATTATTATTATTAAATTATTGTTATGAAACTATTAAACATATTTGAACATATTGTTAAATTATTATTATGAAACTATAAAACATATTTGAACATACATTCAAATTATTACTATGACCTTATTATTAAACACGCTCATTTTTCAATGAATTTGAAGAATCTCAGCCCTAGGAACTAAATGGCTATTTTTAGATAAAATGTTCAGAGATCCAAGATTCCATGTTCGTTGCAAGAATTACTCGAGAGGGTGCGAGCAACGGCACATGGAACGGTATTTAATAATAACAGCGACTGACAATGACTCGCTATTATCGTGCACACGTAATTTCCACTTGTGCGTGTGTATGGTTAAGTCCGTAGATTTTGCGTCGGTTCATTGAAATCGAACATATTCCATACGATTTATGTCATGCAACGTGAATCTGTATGGAACATGTACGCGGCAGAATTATTCATTTTCTATTCTTATCGGCTGAAACGGTTTAATGAAAGCTCGCAAGATTCTTGAAAAATTCAACTCTATCGAAATGCTATTTATTCTAGAATGACTAGTATTATAGGGGGTGGTGGGGGAGAGTAATGTCGTTCTGCGTCCATCGATATTCGTTCGTCGTTCATCGGCTCATCGCGTACTTCTAAGTCGTGCCAAAGACATTTTAAGATCAGAATGATTTTCAGAGTATTCTTTGAAATAATTAAATCTTAAATTTTCCTTTTCGCTATTTACGGTGAAAAACGGCCAGCCGAATACCAGAAGATCTACGGTAATGTCTCCCTTACTGACGCTTAGGTTGTCCGCAAAAATGGATATTATTATATAACTATAAATATTATATTATATATTATATTATAACTATAAAAATAAACCGCAAGGCTCGAATAATCGTATCTCCTCTTACCATATTGTCCATTGTTCTGATCAATCTGGGCGTCAATTAGAGAGACATTACTGTAACTCGAGCGTCAGTAAGGGAAACATTACTGTACGTATCCGGCATCGCACGTTTTCCGAGTTTCACAAGGGTGGGAACGCGACAGCTGCTACGAAAAACATTCGCGACAATATCCAACTATGACAAAGAAATTAGATATTGTCACAATTAATTTATTGTTAAACTGTCATTATTAAAATAATTAACGTCGGCGAAGAACGAATATAATTAGCAGTGTTTCTTTAAAAATCAGTTTTGAAGAAAAGATCAATCTCAGAAGAATTGAAAATGGCGTTCGGCGAAGGAAAGGAAAATTTCTGGAGAAATTCGGACGCATTTATAGCATTTATAGGGAAGCAATGCCAACTGTCGAAGAAGCGTTGGTCAAAGCTTCCCTCGCGTGAGTGTATATTGCATACGCTGTTCGCCGTTATTACTCGCCATTGTTGTGCTCTCCTTTTTCGCGAAAGTACATATTGTTTGGTCGAAGCGCTCGTGTTTCCGGTTGCGTGCTAGATTGGAACTTAACCCTGTGTTTAAGCGTGCGCGGCTCGATTCACAGGAATTTCTGTCATTTGTATCGCGTAGCACGTTGAGATCGGAGCGAGTTTAACTGTGAACAAAGTGCGAGTTTTTTTGCGGCTGCGTTCTTTTTCTGTCCTTTTTTTTTGTATTAACGATAAAATTATCCGAGCAGTTCGAAGCGATCTACTTTTCGATTTTTAGGTAAAATTATGAGGATGTAGAATGTTTCTTATTACTTATTTGCACACGTTTTCGCCTATTGTACTGTTTTAATATTCAATACAGTATAATAATTTATAATTCGGAACAGTAATAATTTTATAATTTAATTTTATAATTTATAATTTAAACCAGTAATTTAAACGTTTCAATTCTAATTTGTTCCTAATATCGATTAAACCGAACTAAAAATATTGAAATAGATAAATACGAAGTTGCTGGATAAACAAAAATTATATAAAAATTATATAATTATATAATGTAATTACTTATTTGTTTTGTAGCGGATAGATCGACCGATTCTCAAGTTCCTGATAAAAATGTTGTCGGAGCGTCGAAAGAAATGTTTTCACGTTTGCTCGTTTCGCTGCGGAAAATTTGCATAAGCTCGCGTGAACGGCATCGACGATTCGTTCAAAAAGGCGGGGACGATGGGAAGGGACGAATCATCGTGTTCGCAGCCACTC